CTCTTTTTGCTTTTTTTTTAAATTAATGTGCTAATGGTCATTCATGCCTCGGTCATTTCCCTGTTGGATCATTGCAATGCGTTGTACTTAGGACTGCACACAAAAAGCGTTTGGAAGCTTTAGCTAGTGCAGAATGCAGCAGCATGTGTAATATTGCAGCACCAAAGTTTGCCTAGATTGCACTGTTGTTGCATGAACAGCACTGGCTCAGCATGCTGGTCCCGTATGGTTCCAGGTGCATTTTAAGGTGCCACCCATCACCCTTAAAAGCCACGGTGGCACAGTGGTGAGAATGCAATACTGCAGCTAATTCTGCTGGCTGCCAGCTGCCAGCAGTTTGGCAGTTCGATTCTCAAGATTAACTCAGTCTTCCATCTTTCCGAGGTCGGTAAAATGAGGATCCAGATGGCTGGGGACAATAGGCTGACTCTGTAGACCACTGTCTAGGGGGTATGTAAGTGCCATCCCTTGTAAGCCCTTGTACGACACAGGGCCAGGTTACCCTGCAGGACCTGTTGGAGGGGTCTCTTCCATCACATATTTTGGGAGGCCAGGGGGTCTGCCTTCTCTCTTGTGGTGCCAGCCCTACTAAACAGCCTTTCTCCCTCACCCCAGAGATCTGCACAGCCACAACCCTTCTTAACTTCTGGAAGGGTGCCTTTTCCACGCCAGGCATTAGGGTCAGAATATTAGTGGACTCAGATATGTGTGCTTTGGTGCACTGAGTTGGTTGTGTGGTACCTCAAATTATTTTATCATCATTATTGTTTTTTCATTGTACTTTTGCTTTTTGTTGTTTATGGGGGATTTGTAATAGTGGGGTTTGTTTGGGGGAGATGTACAATATTGGTTATTTGGTAAGATAGGTGGTACATAAATAAATAAACAAAACAGATAAGCAGCTCTGTTGGACTGCAGTAGAGTTAGGGTCTCGCTACATTTTGTGAAACCTTCCCTCCCTCTGCTTTTGGGACCCTGAGTTGTTCCTGGAGAGGTTCTGAATTCAGGTTGTCTCAATTTTTCTCGGGGCCCCCCTTTACTCCAAAAGATAGGAACTCTCTGTGGATCAAGGCCAACTTCCTTTCAATGATTCAGAAATAAATTTGAAAAGCCTGTGGGAGAAAAGAGAGACGATACCTTTGTTTGCCAGTTTCCCCAACACACAGAGGATGCTGCGATACGGAATCAGCCTCCCTTGGAAACCCTCCAGCAGCTTGGTGAGGACCTCAGCTGGGAAATGGCACCAGAGGGCCACCAGGATGTCACCCGCTGCGTCCTGATACAAGTCCTGAAGATCCTGCAGCAGGAAAGGGGGCCAGAAATGAGGCCTTCTCCTCTCTCTCTCCCTCCCCTTTTCTCTCTCTCACACACACAAATACACACAGAAGATTTCTTATTGCATTATTCTTCAAATAGCAACTGCACTTAGACATATACTGCTTCATAGTGCTTTTACAGACCTCTCTAAGCGGTTTACAGAGTCAGCATATTGCCCCCAACAATCTGGGTCCTCATTTGACCAACCTCAGAAGGATGGAAGGCTGAGTCAACCTTGAGCCGGTGAGATTCGCACTGCTGGCAATTGGCAGAATT